TCTCCTGGTCAATAGATGGTCTCCTGGTCAATAGATGGTCTCCTGGTTAATAGATGGTCCCCTGGTCAATAGATGGTCCCCTGGTCAATAGATGGTCCCCTGGTCAATAGATGGTCCCCTAGTCGATAGATGGTCCCTTAGTTAGTCAATAGATGGTTCAGAATGCAGCCACCTGACCTTCCTAGTCACTCTGGCTGGAGTGGATGAGATTTTGTTCTCCTGGCACGGTCTCAGCTCCTGATGTTGTTGGTAATCCTGACAATACAGTGACTCTCTACTGTCACACGGATCCTCCAAGTTGTCAGGTAGTCTTCTGTCTGGCTGAAATCACAGATTTGTACATTGGACCCCGTAGAACTGGAAGCTGATGTGGGCTACTTGGTCAACTCCTAGGAATGGCTCAGGGAATGTTTTGAAGATGTTAAGGGCTCTGTATTTAATAGCAGGCTGGGGAACCAATCTTGGAGTTGTGTGGATAAGGCCACAGAAATGGAACGGTCACATACCGCCACACAACCTTTATCAGTCCTGGGCTTGTCTCATCCTGTAAGTTCCCATCGGTCTCTGGAAGGCTGGCTGGGGTAGAGAAAGGGGGATTTGCTCATTTCAAGTCTCCAAACTTTCAAGAACACACAAAAGAAGACTCCCAAGAGTAACTTGGGTAGAACACACACAGGAAGCTGCATGCAAGACAGTTGTATCTGCCCACTGCTTTCGTTATATCTCCTCGGGCCTCGTGACAGCCTGCTGGGATCCAAGCCCACCTAGTCTTGCTTTCAAAGGTGAATAACACACAGAGTCTTTGTTCTCTCCAGGTGTGGGCTGACTGCTGATCTCTCTCTCTCTCTCTCTCTCTCTCTCTCTGTGTGTGTGTGTGTGTGTGTGTGTGTGAGAGAGAGAGAGAGAGAGAGAGAGAGACCTGGTATGCGTTCCTGTGTATGTGTGTGTGTTCCTCTGTGTGTCCCTGTGTGTGTGTGCTCCTGTGTGTGGTGTGTATGTTCCTCTGTGTGTGTCCGTCCTGGTGTGCGCTCCTGTGTACGTGTGTGTATGTGTATTCCTATGTGTGTGGAGGCTAGAGGTCAGTGGGAGGCATCTTTTTCACTCATTGGTCATCTTATTTTTTGAGACATTGTCTCTCACTGAACCTGGAGTTGACTCAGCTGGATGGATTACTCAGTGATTCTGGGATCTCTGATCCCTGCCTCCCTATTTCTAGGAGTACAAGTATGTGATAGCATGCCTGTCTTTTTATGTGGACATTGGGGCTCTGAATTCATGTCCTCATGCTTACATAGCGAGCACACTGCAGCCTGAGCGAGGTCTCCTACCCCAGTACTGACTTGACACTATTGAGAAACTCACCAGTACTCTGTGCCTTGGGAGGGCGGGGCCATGAGCAAAACTTGATATGCGGAGGCTGTATGGGAGTCACATCTTAAAGTTTGGTTAGCAGGAAACTTGTGGGCAAGTTTAGGCAAGATGAGAGAACATTCTGGGCAGAGAGAACAAGCAGATGTAAATGCATGATGGCGTAAAAAGGTACAACAAGGTAAAAAGGTAAGGAAGATAGAAGTCATTTATTATGACTGGAATTCTCATCTGGCAAGAAAACTTAAGCTTGCTTACATAGTGAGGGGCAGATCACACTGAAACATCAGACTGCTTACATAGTGAGGGGTAGATCACACTGAAACATTAGACTGCTTACATAGTGAGGGGTAGATCACACTGAAACATCAGACTGTTTGCACAGTGAGGGTCAGATCACACTGAAACATTAGACTGCTTACATAGTGAGGGGCAGATCACACTGAAACTTCAGACTGTTTGCACAGTGAGGGGCAGATCACACTGAAACGTCAGACTTCCGGTTAACGTCTCTAGACCTGCGCTTTCTGATATGGTAGCCACAAGTCATAAGTAACAACTGAACGCAAATGAATTAAAATACATTTTAAAAATCCAATACCTCACACCACCCGCATTTCAGGGCACAATAACCACAGGTGAGCAGGAATTACACTGGGCAGGTATGAAATAGGCAGAGAACCTACCTGCCATCATGAGAGCTACTGACGACATCTGATTGTAGGAGACAATGGGAGAACAACCATAAGCAATGGAGAACCATTGGCCATGCTATACTGTGTCCATGTTTGGATTACACTATGCAGTCACTGGAGAAGACTAAGAGAAGCGAGTGATCAGCTGGGCTTTCATCACAGGCGGTGAAGACAGCGCTGACAATGAAGTGCTTGAAGCACCAGCATATGGACCTGAGTGTAGACCCCCAGCACCTACTGGTAGGTGATCGTGATATCATCACTGGGAACATGGAGACAGGCAGTCCCTGGGGCTGGCTGTCTAGTCATTGTAGCCGAATCAGTGAGTTCATCGTTCAAATAACAATATTCACATAATATTATTATATATAATATTGACATATATACTTATAATAACTGTTATGGTTATTATTTAAAAAGCAGACTGAGGTAGAGGAAGACACCTGACATTCATCTCTGACCTCTACACACACAGCGTCACACCCATGCACACATGACACAGACGTTGACACAACCTGGCCAGCTGGCTGACACTGTAAGTTTGGCTCCTTTTGCCTGGATCATGCAAAGCTGAGCAGGCCAATGCTTCCCTTTGGCCCTGGTATCCTCCTACCCTACCTTAGAAGACAGAGACTTCCAGAAGCTCATGAACTAGCGAATCTACACATCCAACCCAATGACAACGGTCTCACTCCATCTCCAGGAGGACCTGGAGATTGGGATGGAAACCTAAAGAAGATTCCCAAGGCAAAGGCAGAAATCACACATACCCAAGACTTGCCTTGCTCAAGTGGAGAAGACTTAAGTTTTCTGTATGGGCAATAAGTCAAATGTTTTCCTGAACTCCAATTGCCTATTGTTGGGAGACCACAAAGGCCTGAAGACTGTTTTCAATACTGGTTAAGTCTGAACAACTGTTCCTTTTCCCCAGCTGCTACAGTTGGGAAAGTTAATGAATCCTTGTTGAGAGAATAATTAAGAACTATAAGCCCAGTGTGCCACTGACTCAGAGGGAACACCTAGCAAAGAACTCCACTCCAGGCTTCTGTGTTCTGAGGGTGTGGACGTCCCCACGGGAACCACAGTAGAATGTGAGAGCGTCACCCTCATGTTCCTGGCTGAGTCAGATAGGGATGGGAGTCTGGCAGCCTAGTTCAAGGCCCGGAGTTGGCAGTCAGCTGCAAACAGGCATTCCTGCAACACTTAGTTCATGGACCCAGAACCCTCACTGTGAGCCAAGCCCTGTTGTAAACTAGCTGGAAGAATCCATTTATCCCTCACAGCCACTTGGGAAGCTGTCCTGTTGCTGTCTGTACAGAGAGAAAACTAAGACACACAGGTGAAGCCGGTTACACATGCTTTTACGGCTATCAGTGTTCAAGTCAAAGATCTGCACACTGTGTGCTCTGAGGAAGTACATGAGTGGGCCAAAGCCCTGGGGACCCCAGTTACGCACTGGGTGTTGTTAGTGCTTTGACTACTCTGATGATGGCTACCCTCTGAGGGAAAACAAGATCTCTCCTGAATAAGGAGGTCCTATACATTAGTGGATTCAGCCTCAATGGGACCCCTTTCCTGTGTCTCTTATGCCCTGTATGGTCACATTGCAAGCTTCCAGTTGCCTTCTATGGAAAAATGCAAACAGAGACTGCTTGTTCAATAATCACACAGAAACTATATTAATTACAACACTGGTGAATAGCTCAGGCTTATTCCTAGCTAGCTCTTACAACTTAAATCAACTCATTTCTATTAATCTGTGTATTACTATGAGGCTGTGGCCTACTGGCAAGGTTCCAGCCATGTCTTTCTCCTTTGGCAGCTACATCGTGTCTCCTTGACTCTGCCTACTGTCTCTATCTCTTCCAGACTGGTTATATTCTGCCCTGCCATAGGCCAAAGCAGCTTTATTCGTTGACCAATAAGAGCAGCACATATTCAGAAGGACATCCCACATCTTTGAGAGGTGTTGGTGGTGCCTGACGTCAAAGCATGGCATGCAGACACACAACTGGTGATGCATACCTGCAGGCTTTCCCAGCACCCAGCCAAGCACACCTAATGCAGGCTCTCCCACATGGCTCCCCTTGTAGGGAGGTGGGTTCGCCCTGGGTCCTCACCACCAATGCCAGTGGTTGGTATGTGTCTGTCTAAGAGTGTCTTCAACAATTTTGCACACATCTCAGTGGGGCAATTGCTACCCAAGGTTGAGTTTATCCCAAGGACGTCTCCAACCAAACTCTAGACCTGGAGTCAAGGACACAGTATCTGTAGAGATTATTTACATTCTTTCATTGTCCAGAGGTCAAGGACACAGTATCTGTAGAGATTATTTATATTCTTTCACTGTCCAGAGGTCAATACCAAGTATATTTCTTAACATCTTTCCACATTAAGAAAAAAATATACTTTATTTAAAACATGTGCAAGAGGTGACTATGAAATCACATAAAAGTGATAAATATATCTTATTTTTTGAGCCAGGGTCTCTCACTGAACTCAGGACTCACCAATTTGGCTAAACTGGTTGGCTGGGAAGCCCCAGGGGTCTTCCTTTCTCTGATTACCCCGTGTTAGGCTGACAAATGCATGCCACCATGATTTAGGGATCTGAACTCAGGCCCTCAAGCTTGCATTGCACACACTTTCCCAACAGGCGTTTCTGCAAACCCTGAGCCTTCCTATTTTAAAGACTATGTTTGACCTTGTAGTTTAACCTAACGTTAAGTGTCTCGGTGGAGGATCAAATGTTAGTGGAGAACTGGGAGACTGCATTGCAGTGAGCTGACCCTGCAAAGGTTGGCCTTGAGGATCTGTTTATTTTCACAGCAAAGCCTGACACTGCTTATGAATTTATTGTCCCCATTGTCCAACTCTTGCAGTGTCTTCTGGATGACAGTAGCCTTCTCACTCCCACAGCTCCTAGTTGTACTGTTGTCAATCAATGTAGGAAGGACTCCTTCAGTCTTAGCCTACTGGAACTGGTTCACAGCGTTCTTTCAGGAGATCCACTGGTCCCTTCGGACGCTTCCTGTCCCATCTCCAACTCACAGGACATATGGAGACACTGATTCCCCTGTCAAGACATCGTTATCTGAGGCTGCACTGCCAACAATGGCTTGAAGAATAAGTACTGCGTGGAATCAGAAACATGGCTTCTGTCACTTCTAAAACTGCCTCATTTCTTCTGTTGTACAGTGGATCTGGCCTTCCTCCCAAACAGAGCTGCACCACCCTTACGGACACAATGCTGTCCCTCTGGGTCACTCCTCAGTGTCAGGGACTTAGAGGGTTTCTGCTCAGTTGACCAGTATGCTCTACAAACCCTCTGTCCTTCTCCTCAGATGCTAACATTGCTGGATGCTAATATTAAAGTCCTATTATTTCATAACAAATCATGGAAGCATTTTCCCCACTGTGTTCTGATTTGTGATTAGGTTGTTTTCAGCATGTAGGAAAATTCCAACAGAGATGTAAATTCTCCTGTGTATACTTTTTGCCCCAGGCCCAAGAAAACTTAAGAATTTTCTGGATCAGTTTTCTACAATGAAACCCAGACATCCATCCAAGACAGGGCCACCATGTCCCTTTGGATGTGAGGATTATTTTATTTTAAGATTTAAGGTGTTTTCATTATAGCGACGACAAAACCAGCAACCCTCAAACAAAGAAGCTCACAATGAAAAGCCAGTCTCTCCCTCAGTTCCAGCTCAGCTTTAGTTCTTATTCTTGCTGCTGCAATAAAACTCCCTGCTGAAAGCAACGTAAGGGGAGAAGGGCTTCCTCTGACATAGGTTTGCATTCAGTCCGTCATGGCGGAGAAGGGAAGGCTGCAAGGAATTTGAGGGCATGCTCCATCACACCCACAGACGGGAAGGAGAGATCCATGCTTGTGCGTCAGTCACTTTCTCATTTTTATACAATCCCGACCCAGGGACTGGTGCCACCCTTAGTGGGCAGGCATTCCCACCTCAGTCAACATAATCAAGATAACCCCCCCACACAACTGGCCTACTCAGAAAGGAGCCTGACTTGGATGACTCACAGTTGTGTCGAGACGCCTATGGCCTGTCAATCAACAGTCTCACAACCCTCCTCAAGGTACAGACCCTCACCAACATCTTCTTACTTACTCTATTCCCAGGACTCTTTCAGAAGCCTTTTCCTGTATCCTAGATCAGGTTTCCCAGAACCACACAGCTCAAGTGCACGAGGGTCTGAGGCCAGAGGGAAGGAAACAGTGTAGAGCAAAGTGGGTCTTTGCTGGAATCCGCTTCAGATTGTCTCTGTGGGGAACTCTGGGCACGGATGGAAGCAGAGTCAACCCACATTGAGGAAAAAAAAATTCAGTGGGCTGTGGGCTGAGGGATGCTCTTGGTGGAGGGGATGTCAGCCCCTTCCATGGGGTTTGATGTGAGCTGTTTGCAGCCTACAGGGCTAGCAGAGGGGCCAGATGCTCTGGACTGGTAATGGGTACGGAGAGAAGGCAACAAGAAGTCAGATTATTAGATTAAATGGTGGAACAAGCTTGTAACTCTCAAAGCATGCTTCAGGGGAAACGTGGGCAGTACATTCAGGCACAAGCTCGACATTCATATTTCACCATAAATTAATCTGTTCGACATGGCTGCCAGCTAAGGCAGGTCTTCTGGATGACACAATGGAATAAGGCGTGGAAAGTCTGGGAGAAGAAAGTCATATGTCCTAGCCATGTTGGGCCAGGTTCTTTGCAACAGCTTGGAAAATGGCAGGAAGAGCATAAGGAATAACAAGACGCAGAGAGGCATTGGAGGCTTAGCGGGATCCTAGGCATCCGGCCCTGAGTGACGGGAGGGAGAATCTAGAGGTAAATGTCTTTGTGTTTACCAAGAAATAAAAATTATCTCTTTCTTTCCTGTGTTCTGTAGAAAAGTACAACACAAAAAGATACACACATGCACACACACACACACACACACACTTCCCAAAGTCCATCTCTGAGCACCAGCCCTTTGGTAATGAAAACGGCTCTTCTATTTTGCTTGACTTTTGGAAAGAGATGAAGTCTTCCTCTTCCTGAAGGCTACAGGTGTTCCCACTCCAGAGAGAAAACAATAACAGAGTCGAAGGACTCACATCCCAAGCAAAATGTTCCTAGCAGCCAACAGGGCCCCTGGGAGTTCAGGCAGAAGCCCCCTCCTCACAGCTGCTGTCACAGGACCTCCTTCTGAGGAGCAAAGAGGCAGGCTCCCCCCACACCCCAACTCTCCACTACATCCTTCTTAGCTACGGTCATCATTGTGCTGATATTCGCTCTCCTGTTCCCACTTCCCAAAATGCAAATATCAGAGACATAGCAAATATCAGAGACATAGCTCTGTCTTCATTCAAAATGAATGCACACACACACGCACATGCACACACACATCAACTTGTTTCATCTGAGAGAGCCAGAAAGGAAACTCCTGTTTACTCCAAATCCAAATAATAAGGAGGCTCAAAGAGCCAGAGGTCATTTGGCACAGCACGGCCCTGGGAATGCGAAGGCGATGGAAACCATCTGGATTAGAGAGTTTGTTCCCAAGGCCACTCCCTGTGGGCAGTCCGCAGCCTCGCTTCTAGCCCCATCCGCACTGGCAGTGAGAGGCCATGTAAGGTGATAGAGCATTGAGGAAAAGCTGCCAGCCTGTGTCTTCGGTTGCTCTTGCAAAACTAAGGACAAGCAATTTATCAACAACGGGGCTGGGCACAGCGGTGTGTGCCTGTACCCTCCTCTTCTCAGGAGGCTGGGGTAGGGGGGACTACTGGAGCCAAGGAGCTCAGGACCACACGGTAAAAAGTTCATCTTAAAGAAGAAAGGTTTGGGCTCACGGTTCTGGAGACAGCAAAGCCCAATAACAAGGCACTGGCCTTCCTTAGTGTGGCTGTTACTTTTCTCTATCATTGAGGCCAAATACCTGACAAGAAACAATTCAAGGGAGGAGGGGCTGCTTTGGGCTTATGGTTTGAGGGTCTGGTCAGTACCAAAGAAGCTGAGGCTACTGTGAGACT